GGAATCGCACCCTGCAACTGAGCTACACCTCCAACCCCTCACTTTTTGCTCTTGGATCCCATGGTTAATTTCCCTGGGCCTTACTTTCCTAATGGTGATATAACAGTGCAAGCACTTGTGGCAAAGAGTTCAAAAAAATGCTACTGTTTTCCAGCTGTTCCCACTTTCCTTCCCAGGAATGCCCTTGGGCCCTGGATTATGGACTGTGCAGGACCATGGTTCTCACAGGCTTTCCCTGAACTGTCCCTCCAGCTCTGCTAGTGACACATTCTGGATTTTCTTCTGGATGATCCACAGGTCTGAAAGGGTTTCGTTAGGTCTCATATCTGAGTTAAACAGAAATCCTGTAGGCAGTCAGACAGGACTAGGCTCTCAAAGACAGTCAGGGCAAAGAGGAATACTCATTACAATGGTGGCCAGAGGCACATCTGTTGGAGGCCAGACCTCAAGATACAGCCTGACATAAATTGTAGACATCTGTCACTTTGGTGGCCCTCTGACACAGCATTTCCTGAAAGTTCTTTGTTCCTTCCATGTGTACTTGCTATGTGACTTGTTTCCCTATTACCTAAAGAGCTATGATTATAATCTTGTTGGTTTATCACAGCTGTAACCCAGATTGTACCCACCTGGTTGTGCTCTGGAAAGCTTCCCCAGAGAAGCAGGGTCCTCGGCAACTCACTTTCAAGTTCCCTCTTGCCTCTCAGGAGCCGTATCTGTCCCCCTCAATAAATAGTTCCTGCCGGGTGTGGTGGTGCATGCCTGTAATCCCAGCACTGGGAGGGCTGAGGCAGGAGGATTGTTTTGAGTTTGAGACCAGCCTGGACTACAATGTAAGCTCAAGGCCAGCCTGAACTTCATAGTGAGACCCCACCTCAGAAAGACAATAAATAAGTAAATAAATAAATTTGTTTCCTACTTTTTTTTTGTTGCGGAACCGGCAATTGAACTCAGGCTCTTGCACTTGCCAGGCAAGCGCTTATAATCTACTGAGCTGTCTTCCCCAGCCCTATTTCCTACTCTTAACCTCCATTGTTTCTTAGAATTAATTATTCGGAGAATACGAACTTAGCATATGGGACATCTGGTAGGTTTGGAGTTATAAATTTACTTTATATCATATTTGGAGGTCGTGATAACATTTCTATAAGTGCCTCCACAAACGTGGCTTATTTTAGGCTTTCTCTATTGAAAGAGTTGGGACCAGGGATAAACACTTCCCTGGCAAGCGCAAAGGCCTTAGTTCTATCCCCAGTTCCGCCAAAAAATAAAAATAAAAAACAAATCAGCCAACTCTATTGAAAGAGTGGGAGACCGTGTTAAGGAATTTAGACGCTTAATCCAAGGTTGCCCCTGTGGACGTATATGCGTTGCGTCCCCTCTGGCCGCCAGGAGGCGCGCGAGGAAGGCCCGGAAGTTTATCACGGGAACGTGCGCCGCCTTCTGTGTGATTCTCTCCTTTGCGCCGGTTTTGCTTCGCGTAGTTGTTTGTCCTGCGCGGCTACCCGTCCGCGTACGAATCTAGCCCGGGAACTAAGAGTCGGAGGAGCGGATTCTTTGTGGTCATCAGCTGTGAACTTACCCGCCCGAGACGTCGTCGGGACTGGCAAGATGTGTACCCTAGGATTGTTCCCTCCGCCGCCGCCTAGGGGTCAAGTCACCCTATATGAGCACAATAACGAGCTGGTGACAGGCAGTGGCTATGAGAGCCCGCCTCCCGACTTCCGGGGCCAGGTGGGGTCTGGGCGAGGAGGGCCGGGGTCCAGCTAGAGTGGAGAAAGTTGTCAGGGAGAATTTGAGGGATAGTGATAGCGTGACGAGCGTGGGGTCGAGCCGAGCCTGGGCTGGAGACTAGAAGAGGGGGAATGCATTTTAGGCCTGGTACTGACCTATAGAGGATGCTGAGGTGCTGTAGGGGAGGAGAAATCAGGCTGAATCTAGGCCGTCTGATGTGCAGGAGAACTATTAAGAAATTCGGAACAGCGTCGGGGAGAACAGGGAAGCCATAGTCTGAAACTCTTCCCGCAGAGTGCTGGGAAGGAAAAGGAAAGGAAGCTGACATTTACTGGACCTTTGCTATGTAAGAGGGAGGCTCTGACTCGGGTGTTTTCCAAAATGATTCCCGTGAAAAATTATTCTAGAGCTACGACGTGTTTTTGTGGGAATGGGAAACAGCTCTGTGGAGCCTCAGATGTTTAGCCCAGCCAGGGGTTAGAGATGAGATAGGAGTTCAGCAAAGATCTGGGAAAAAGATGAACTCACTGTCACATTCTTCGCTTCCGGGCACTAGTGGATCAATCTTCCTGTCTTACACCTGGCTAAGGATCCCCTGAAGACTCCTGGGAGGCTGGACCATGGTACAAGAACTGCCTTCATCCATCACCGGGAGCAAGTGTGGAAGAGGTGCATCAACATTTGGTGAGGTTACAAAGGGTTTCCGGGGCCATAGTTTATAGGTCCTGGAGAAGATGGTGTTACCACTCCCTTACAGTGGGCTGCTTTTCAAAAAGCTGTTTCATTTGGGCTTTGTTTCTGTAAGAATTGTAACTAGCAAATGGTGGACCTCAGCACTGCACCAGTGGTTCCATTTCCTCTTTAAGGACTCACCTTGCTTTCTGGTTAGGTTATATGAACTTGCTCCTTGCATCACTTCATGTCATTGTTACTTCTGAGCTTTTATCTGAGCCTCGACATGGTTAGGTGCCGTAAGGCTGCATTGGCTAATCTCATACATAGGGTGTTCATTTTGCACATGTAGGACGGATGGGAGCCACACTTGCTGAGTTAGTATCTTGTCTGTTGCCACATTTTAGCTGTATGGCCTTGGCAAATTATTATTCTGTTCTTAAGTTTTCTCAGTTTATAAGATTATAGTGATGATGATGATGATGATGATGATGATGATGATGATGATGATTTTTGGCATAATCGGGGATTGAACTCAGGCCCTTGCACTTGCCAGGCAAGCGCTTATTCTATTGAGCTATCTCCCTGGCCCTGATTAAGTTAGTGGGAGTAAAGCATTTGGAGAACAAGGCTTGATACATATTTATCCCTTCAAGAGTTAGCTGTTTTCATCATTACTACCGTTATGTGTAGATGTGTTTATTTTGTGGACGGTTGTCAAATAGTCCCCCATTAAAACTGTACATATGGTGCCACAAACAGTGAGTGTATGAGTGCCTGAATCCTAACATAAGTGGTTGCTTGCCTGTGCTTACTCACACTCTCTCTTTCTCTTCCCTTTTTTTCTGATAGTGTCTTTCTATCTAGTCCATACTGGCCTTGCACTCCCACTGTAGCCCAGGCTGGCCTCAAACTCCTAGGCTAAGCCTCTCATATGTTGGGATTATACGCCTAGCCTCAACCTAAGTGTTATCAAATTTTGATATTTGGAGGCCAGGCATCATGGCATATGCCTGTAATCCCAGCACTCAGGAGGCTGAGGCAGGAGGATCTATGTGAGTTTGAATCCAGTCTGGGCTACAAAGTGAGTTCAAAGCCAGCCTGAACTGCATAGTGAAACCCTTATGTCAGAAATATATATATACACCAAATGTTGATTTTGGTATTGTAGTTTATAATTTAATTTGTATGTCATTTTTTAAAAAAAATGTATTTGGTACAAGGTCTCACTGCACAACTTGGATTTGTAGTGATCCCCGTTTTCAGCCTCTCCAGCGCTGGGATTATAGGCATGCGCCACCACACTCAGACTTGCTGGCTGGCTCAGCTTGCCCAGGGGCAGGGCCAGCATGGCATGTGGTGCTACGGATCAAATCCCACTTCCTGCACTTGCCTAAGCAGGAACTTAGTCTGTTGCGCTATCTCGCTGGTCCTGTATGTCTTTTTTTTTTTTTTAGTACCAGGGATTGAATTTGCGACCTTGCACTTTGCCACTGAACTATCTCCCAGGTCCTCCTGCTTGTCTTTTTTTTTTAAATTTTATTTATTTATTTATTTATGTGTGTGTGTGTGTGTGTGTGTGTGTGTGTGTGTGTATGGCCAGCTCAGCCCACCAGGGGGGCGGGACTGGCTGGCATGTGGGGCTGGGGGATTGAACCGCGGTCCCTGTGGGTCCCTGTGCTTTGCTAAGCTTGTTCTAAGTAGGTGCTTTAGACCACTGAGCCATCTCACCAGCCCCCATGCTTGTCTTTTTGTGAGTAAAGTTAAACATCAGTTTATTGCCTGAGTCATTCATTCCTGGGACCTGCTTTGCCTCCCAGCACTCTAGCTGCTGATTCTCAGCCCTTTTGGTAGTTCCCTTCCTGAGGTCCCTTAACTAGTGATGCTTCTGAGGCCCAACTTCTGAGGGCTGTGTCAGACCTGGATGTTCACTTGTTTAGCAGATACCCATGCTTTTATACTCCACAGATGTTACACCTCTGCCCTGTTCAGATCCAGTCTTTTCACACCCCTTTTCAAACTTGTTTCTTCCCTGAGTGCTTATTTCAAGGATAATAGTCATGTTATTCATCCACAAGTGAATAGTTTTTGTGTAGGCTCTGAGGCAGACGCAGTTGATTTTTACCTCTTTGGAGATTACCTTTATTGTATTAATTAGTCTCTTCACGTCAGTTTTGTTTTATTTATTTTTTTCTTCTTTTAAAATGCTGTGTTAATATTTTGTAGGGTTGTGATAATGACCATATTAGATCATATGAAATACCTACCACATTATAAATATATTAGCTGATATAATTGCTACTAAATATTTTCCTTGATGTTAGTCTTTCCCTTACTAATATGTAATTATTCCTTAAATCTTGTGTGTTGTAATACCTAAATCTCTCAAATCTGTCTCCTTTTTCACATTTCCATGAGTTCAAGACCCTTCTTCAACTTTTTGTCCTGAAAAGTCCCGAAGTAGCTTCTTGACTGTGTGTGTGTGTGGGGGGGGTACTGGGGATCAAACTCTGGACCTAGCACTTGCCAAGCAGGCGCTTATGCCACTGAGCTATATCCCTGCACTTGACTGATTTTTTTTTTTTTTTTTTTTTTCTATTCTTGGTCCAGATTTTTTTTTCTGAAATGCTGTTGTGATTAGCAAGTTTCAATTTTTTGGGTGGGTGGGGTACAAGGGATCAAATTCCCAAGGACCTTGTGCTTGCCGGGTAGGTGCTTATGCTGCTGAGCTATATATCCCTAGCCCTTGAGTTCCAATGTTTTTATCTACTCAGAATGTGTGTAATCTCAGCACTTGGGAGGCTGAGGCAGGAGGATCTTTGTGAGTTTGAGACCTGGACTACACAGTGAACTTGACCAGTCTGAACTACAAAGCAAAACCCAGTCTCAAAAAGTATAAGTAATTATAAGAACACTACACTATAAAGTGCTTGCCCTGTAGTTGACACTCATTAAATACAAGTGCCCTTACTTATGTTTATTGAATGACTGAATAAAACTTGTAGAGGGGAACCGAGAGAATTAGAATATTATCTGATTTATAGTTTCCTCTCCTTGTCAGGCGTGATATGGGCCTTTTTGGTGTGCTGAATGAAATTGCAAACTCAGAAGAAGAGGGTAAGTGTTTTTCCCTCCAGCGTACTCTAGCTTTGTGCTTGGTCTTTCCTCCATATTTTTGTGAACTCACCCCAATATCTTCTTAGTTCAGCCTCTTTCTCTTTAGCCCTATTTTTTCCTGTTGTCTTCTCTTCTCCTTTTGCCTCCCCAACACCTAGAGTAGGTGTGTACTCATAGGTAGGTGCTAGACAAAAAGATCTGGAACTGACCTCACCTAAGAGGTACCCAGGGGCCGGGGAGATGGCTCAGTAGAATAAGTGCTTCCCTGGCAAACACAAGGGTCTGAGTTCAATCCCCGGTTCTGCCAAAAATAAATAAATAAAATAAAATAAAATAAAATTTAAAAAATAAGCAGTACCCAATAAGAAACCTGTGAATGAATTTCTCAGAGCTGTTTCTTCAACCCTACAGTGTTTGAGTGGGTGAAGACAGCATCCAGCTGGGCCCTGGCGCTTTGTCGATGGGCCTCCTCCCTCCATGGATCCCTCTTCCCCCACCTATCTGTAAGTTTGGCGTCTTGGCCTTGCTGGGTGTGTTTACCCCATCCCCACACTCTTCCTGTCATTTTCGGTCAGCCTGAGTGGGATGACTGCAGAGGGATGGTCTTCTTTTGTCCCTATGTCATCTCTATCTTCTTTGTACAGCTCCGAAGTGAAGATCTGATTGCTGAATTTGCTCAAGTCACAAACTGGTGAGTGCAGCCCTGGGGCCTTGTGGAGGGAAGTGCTGAAACTTGGAACTTCTGCGGGGAGAGGAAAGTGCAGGGAGAGACTCCTTCCATGTCTTCCTGACTACTCCTTACTTTTTCATACTCCTGCTCTCCACTCCCCCCACCTCCCACTAAAACAAAAGGAAAAGGGATTAGAAGAAACTGAGCAAAGCCAGTTGTTGTGCACTTCTGTGATCCCACCTACTCAGGAGGCTGAGGCAGGAGGATCACAAGTTCCAGGCTTTCATTTAGAAAGACAATGGGGGGGCCAGGGAGATGGCTCAGTGGAATAAGCACTTCCCTGGCAAGTGCAAGGGCCTGAGTTCAAACCCGGTTCCACAAAAAAAAAAAAAAAAAAAAAAAAAAGAAAGACAAGGGGCCAGGGAAATGTCTCAGTGGAATAAGTGCTTCCCTGGCAATTGCAAGGGCCTGAGTTTAATCCCCGGTACTGCCAAAAAAAAAGGAAAGACTGGACAGAGTGGAGTGTAACTTAGTGCTACAGTGCCCCTGGCTGTGATACCAATTACTAAAAAAACAAAAACCCAGCTATGTCCTTATGTGAAAGGAAATCTGAGCTTCCAGTCTGGGCATGGGAAGAGTTGGTTCCAACTTTGTACTCACTCCTGCCCCAGGTCCAGCTGCTGCTTGCGGGTCTTTGCCTGGCACCCTCACACCAACAAGTTTGCGGTCGCCCTGCTGGATGATTCCATCCGAGTGTATAATGCCAACAGGTACGTGGGTATAGGAGTCTGGCCCTGACCTGTCAGTCTCTCCTTCCTCCTAGCCTTGGTCCCGAGGGAGTCCCAAGAGTGTCCTGCAGGTCCAGAACTAGATTCTTATGGCTTCTTCCAGTATCGGGTCTAGGGGTTGTCCATAAATGCAGGTGTCCTCTTTCTAAACCTAACCTTTGTCCTATCCTCTTCAGTACCTGTGGGACCCCAGGGCCCTGTATAGGGTGTGTTTTTCTTTTGTGTATTTTTCCCTCCTCAAAAATGTCCAGATCCCCTGAGGCTTAGAGTGTTTTTGGGTACAGATACTAGGAATCAAACTCAGGACCTTGCACTTGCCAGGCAGGCACTTGTGCCACTGAGCTACATTCCTGGCCCCAGGCACAGGGTTTTGACCCAGGGCTCTGCTCCTTTACCTCAGCACTATAGTACCATCACTGAAGCACCGGCTGCAGCGAAATGTGGCAGCTCTGGCCTGGAAGCCTCTCAGTGCCTCCGTGTTGGCTGTGGCCTGCCAGAGCTGCATTCTTATCTGGACCCTGGACCCTACCTCCTTGTCTACCCGGTGAGTCCAGCCTGCCTTGACTTGGCCTGAGGCCGTGGCTGTGCTGGGGTGGTGGGTGGTAAGGGGAGCACTTGTCCTCAGTGCTTCTCAGGACTGTGGGAAGGGCAGATGAAGGCCAAAGGGGGACACTAGGATGCTCTTAAGAGAACGGAACTGGGGACATATGGAATTATGGGGAAGTCATCGTGGGAAGGAAAGTCTGTTCAGGAGTACTAAAAATACAGAGTTTTTTTTTTTTTAGACAAAGCTTTGTTACAGATTTCATGCTGGTTGTAAGCACAGGTTTAAAGGAAAGAGAACAGGGGCTAGGGAGATGGCTCAGTGGAATAAGCGCTTCCCTGGCAAGCGCAAGGGCCTGAGTTCAATCCCTGGTTCC